GGAGATGGGCAGGTGGGCGCGCAGGAGTGGCCTGGCGCGGGTGGGCTCCCCTCCCACCTGCTGCCCCTCCTTTGCACCCCGAGCGCCCCCAGCTCCCTCCCCGGCCTGCTGTCCCCCAGCACCTCCACCTCCCCTCCCAGCCACCAGCCAGGCTGCGGTCCCTGTAAGAGTCCAGAGCCCCTGCCCCTCAGCGGGACGCTGGCTCTCCTCTGGGAGAAGGGCAGGGTCTGGTCCGTCTGGAGGGGCACCGACTGACCTTGTGTTGGCTCCCAGGGCTGTGAGGACGGCTGCACCCTGGTCCCAGCCAACTGTTTCATCAACAAGGAGGAGCTGCAGCCCTTCCCGCTGGGAATCCGCATCGACTACATTCTCTACAAGGTACGTGCAGCACAGTGGGGCGGAGACAGGAGGCGACCTGCCCAGGGCCACAGGCTGCATCCGGGGCAGAGCTGGGAACAGGGCCCCAGGCTGCGTCCTGGCGCCGGGCACTGCCCAGCAGACTGCATTGCCTTCCGCTTCCCAACACTGCGAGTCAGACAGGAGAGGCGGAAGAGGCCTGTCTGGGTCTGGTCCATCCCACACTCATACTCTGTTGTCCTGGCTGCTTCAGCCCCCGGCCCCAGAGGCAGCAGCCTTTCCAGAGCAGGTACGTCTGTTACGTACCCGAGCGTCAGGGGCTGTTGGGCTCAAATGCTGCTTTGTGTTGGTAGAGCACAGTGTTGTTCCGCCGTTACCACCACCAAGCTCTTATGTACAGCGCTTTTCATCCCTAGACCTCAAAGCGCTTTTACCAATGAGGTCAATAGCATTAGCCCCATTTTACAGATGGGGAAACTGAGGCATGGGGCAGCGATTTGCCCATGGTCACTGAGGAAGCCAGGGGCAGAGCTGGGAATAGACCCTAGGTCTCCTGAGGCCTTGTCCACTAGGCAACACTGCCTCCCATATTATATAGATATGTAGATCTTGCTGGTTTTGAAGTCCCTTAGCCAAAATCCATAGCCCTTGTACTGTGAGGGTCTTCCTGCTTTTCAGGTCTGAGCAGGTGGGCACAGGTCTGGGACGCAGGAAGGCTTAGTTATAATCCCAGCTCCTGCCACTTGCTCGCTGCATGGCCTTAAGCGACGTCGCTGCCCTGCTCTGTCTGTAACTTGAGGGCGGAGCTCGGCTCTGTCAGCCCTCTGGATGGTGGGGAAGTATTGCCAGTAAAAACTCCGTCTCGAGATGTTTCTGCGTGGTTAGAATAGGGCACTCGGCCTCCCAGCTCCCACTTCAGCCTCTAGGCCACGGAGCAGCAGATTTCCCTTCCGTCAAGTGGGCCACGTCCCATGGCAGGCCGGGGAGGGGCCGTGGGGAGAATGGCCCCAGGACCTGCGTAGCACTGTGCCCCATCGCCCTCCGTCTTCCCTTCCCCTAGGGACTGTCTCGCTTTGTGGTGAAGTGTGACAGCCTCATGACCACCACGGGCACCGCCCCTGGCAAGAGCATTCCCTACTCGGACCACGAAGCCGTTATTGCTACACTGTGCGTGAAGCCACGAGAGGAGGCCAAGGCCTCGAGCAGCAGTGCAGTCGGTGAGTGGTTGGGCCGCTCAGACCTCGGCAACGGGGGCGCAGCTGGCTCAGGGAGGGCAGCTTGTCGGGCAGCCTGGAGCGCTGGGATCTTGAGAGAGCTCTGCCAGCCGGGTCAGCCTGCCAAGTCATTAGGTGGGCCTCCGACCACAGCCACGTCAGAGCTCCTTCCAGGCTCTGCAGGAACGAGGCCACGATAGCAGGTGGACCGGGCGGGCCGTTTGCAAACCCCAAGAGAGCAATCGAGGGAATGGTTGGGTTTGATCCCACAGCCCAATCGTTTCCATCCAGCTGGCACTAGGGAATCTCACACCGCATGGCGAGAAAGACCCAGAATGCATAGAGCCCAGCAGCAAAGCAAAGCACTGTTGGATACCTGCCCAGAATGCCCCTCACTCTGCACAAAGCTCCATCCTGAAGCAGAAAACGGCGTACGCCAGGTACCACATTGACAGAGGCACCAGTTAGTGTGCAAATTAATCCCCTCGCCCCGCATAGACAAGGCCTTAGCGGTCCCACTGATTGCCTTATCGGCACGGTGCGTCTCTCCGGCGGGTAAGACGCCGTGAGCCCCTGGGGAGACTGGAGCTGTATCCAAGGTGGCCTGGCTGGCTGGGAGGAGCTGTCCCACGCGGCGGCTAAGCCCCCGTTTTCTCTTGCAGAGCCAGAGCTGGTGGACGTGGTGAACGAGGCCCGGACAGAGGTGAGGGTGGGGCTGCACGCCGCCGAGCGCCAGCGCTACTCCAACGGCCGCATGGCCATCCTGGCCCTGCTCCTGCTGCTCCTGCAGGCGGCCATGGGCCTGAGCTCCCTGGTGGGCTGGGACTCCCCGCAGCCTTTCCCCAAGTTCTCCTTCTCCCTGCTGAGTTTGCTGGCCACGGTGGTGCTGCTGCTCTCGATGGTGCTGTACGTCTTCCACACCATCGAGGTGAAGATGCTGCAGGGGACGGAGGAGCAGATGAGGCTGGCGCTCCAGGCGCTGCAGGACAAGCTCAGCTCCATGTAGGGGGGGGGGGGGGGGGGGATCAAGAGGCTCCTGGGCGCTCAGCTGGCAGCAACTGCCCTGGAGAGCAGGGGGAGGGCAGGCGGTTTCCTTTGCACTGGATTGCTCCACAGACCTTTTTATGGTTAACTTGATTTTTAAACAAGCAGCATTACCGAGCATTTGGTATCTTACCGATTACAGCAGGTTTTCTATCGCTGCCTTTTCGAGTTAAATAAACTTTCTGAACAGATGATTGTATTCACCCCTTTAAGAGACTGAGTGCTTTTAACACTGCTAACAGGAGGTGGGGTGTTAGTCACGGGAGATCTCTCGAAGGGGCATCTTCATAGGAGAGAACAGAGACTGCTGTTCCCCTCGACACACGCAGGGATAGGACAGGCCTGTTGGTAATACAGTTAGAATTGTCCGGCTGTGACTGAGGGTACGTGTCTACACTGCAGTCGCTGGTTGCTACTGTCGCACGTGTAGACATACCTGAGCTAGCTTTAATCCAGCTAGTTCAGATACCGGAGCAGTGAAACCCGAGTCATTACCCAGGGTTCTGGGCTGGTGTGAATAGCCTGTGCTGCTCCAGATTCACCGCTCCAGGACCCAATCTGGGTCAGTTAAAGCTAGCTTGCGTATGTCTGCCCAAGCTGCGATCCGCTCCCCATGACTGCAGTGTAGACAGACCCATAGTGCGGCTCTGCTCTCCAATGTGGTTAACTTCTGGACCAGGGAGTCCCGATGGGATCCCTGCTTCAGCACTACGATGAAACACGCCGCCCTTTGTAGCCACACAGGCGTGACCGAGCAGAGCATGACCGCGCTAGGACAGCAAACGCTCAGCACTGAGGCCAGCCTGTTTTTACAGCCACTTTTCAGAGTAGCACTTTAGTGTAAACTCCTCCATGGCAATCTTAAAAGAGCATCTACGCCAGGGGGGTTTGACCAGAAATTCCCGACGGTTACAGCTCTGCCCTCACTGCTCCCAGCAGCGATGGGCAGGGCTCCAGGCAGCCCCAGGGGTGGCTCCGTGAAGCTTTATTGCAAAGAGGGAACCACCTGTGAGCAATTCCCTGGTCGGGAATAAGAGAGATGCATGGTGTAGCTTTGTCTGCAGAGTAAGACCTAAGCCTCCTAAGGCAAAGCCTTAAGGGGTTGGAGTTACCCTGAGAGATGGGGGGACAGGCGTTGTATGTAGCTATACTGGCGTTAGCGTTGATCTAGCTAGCTCCAGCCACAGGAGCAGCACGGGCTATACCACCCCGCCCAGGGTGTGCACTGGAGTGGCTAGTCCATGCAGCCACAGCTTCCCTGCTAGTGGAGCTAGGTAGATGGAAGCTAACCCCATGTGTGCTGCCGACACACCCAGTGACAAAACCCAGCCGTTCTCCCCCTACCCTTCAATTCCTGCTCCTTAGTCTTTTTGGCTGGCTGTGGCTGGATCCTGTTAGCCTCCCGGAGATTGTACTGAGCATTAATAAGTCCCACCAGTTTCCATGGACACTGAAGACATCTGCTGACAGAGAGGAGGGACAAGGTGGGTGAGGTAAAATCTTTTATTGGACCAACTTCTGTGAGGGAGTGACAAGTTTTTGAGCTTACACAGAGTTCACCCACCTTGTCTCTCTAGTACCCTGGGACAGACATGGCTACAACAACACTGCATATGACAGAGAGGAGAAGTTACAGGAATCTGTAATGCGGGGGACCAGCAGGAGGCGCTGTGCCCCGTGACGGTAGCGGAGCTTAGACACGTGTTAGCCAGATACTGCAGGCTGTAGCTGTTTGATCAGTTCTCTGGCACTGGATAGGCCCCCTTGTCTGGGCTGCAGAAGGAAACATTTGGGGGGACACAACAAGAACAGTTTCTAACAGGACTGATCTGAAAGGAATCCAGCAACTCCCTGAGGACTGGGCTTAAAAGGAACCTGAGAGCTCATGCCCTGAATAACTTAATCGTGCCGATATAGCATTAAGGCCGAGGCTGTATCTTCACTGGGGGAAAAGGGGTTAGTTAATTTGGCTTAAACATCCACGCTGCAAGGCAGCTGGAGTAAACCTTGGCGGGGAGTCTCGTGTATCCATCAGCTAAGGCAGGGGTGGCCAACCTGAGCCTGAGAAGGAGCCAGAATTTACCAGTGTACATTGCCAAAGAGCCACAGTAATACGTCAGCAGCCCCCTCCCCCCCCCATCAGCTCCCCCACCCACCGGCAGCCCCACTGATCAGCACCTCCCCACACCTCCCAATCAGCTGTTTCATGGCCTGCAGGAGGCTCTGGGGGGGAGGGGGAGGAGCGAGGGCACGGCAAGCTCAGGGGAGAGCGCGGGAAGGGGTGAAGTGGGGGCTGTGCCTGTGGCAGAGCCAGGGGTTGAGCAGTGAGCACCCCCTGGCACATTGGCACCTGTAGCTCCAGCCCCGGAGTCGGTGCCTATACAAGGAGCCGCATATTAACGTCTGAAGAGCCGCATGTGGCTCCAGAGCCCCAGGTTGGCCACCCCTGAGCTAAGGGGTGAAAACACCAGGTGCTCTACCCCCACCTGGCAACACGGGGTTAACGCTACAGCTGCCTGGTGCATTTCGAACATGTTACAAGCCCAGTGTCACCTTGTTCCCTACTGAAGATGGGGTCCAAGTCGAATGCTGCCACGCAGTCAAATCTGCTCCCCCTCGGTCTGGGGAGCAGCGCTCAAGCACTAAAACGAGAGAGGAAACTGCTAAGCCTGCCTGGTGGGTTAGGGGCCCAGCCCCATCAACAGAAGCCCCCGTTCCAAGAACTGGGCTTGTCCTCGCATTCTGCCAGAGCAGGCGGAAGAGGGGCCTGGCGCTCCAGACAGCAGATTCATCCCCTTCAGTGAGGCTTTGGCAGTAACTTCAGTGTCAGGCGCATGCTGCCTCGGTACATGCCCCCTTACCTCTCCCAGGGTGACCTGACCCTGCCGGCAGCTCTCACGCTGCTGGGGAGAGGCCAGCAGTGTCTCTTGGGCCGTCGGTGACACAGGCAGTTGTGTCCTAGCAGAACGAGGAGCCAGGCTGACATGGGGAAGCTGTCCATGCTGGGTCCGTGGCAGGGATCGGGCCGGCGGCTCCTCAGCCTGCCCACCCCTGCGCTGTCCCCGGGAGAGCCTCACTCAGCTCGCTAAGGCGCTTCTCCTCCAGCACGTGGATCAGGGCATTTCGCTGGTTCACCACCTCCAGCAGCTGGGCCAGGATCTCCTTCTCCGCCAGCCTGTCCTGGGGCATCTTCAGCGTCTCTGCAAGAACAGAGCAGGGAGTGAGTTCCTAGAGCCCTGCTGCAGCCAGCACCTGGCCCAGCATGCTAGCGGCATTAGACCTCGGTTCTCCCGCCCCGGGGCGCCGTGCTGGTCCCTCTACAGAGACACCCCCATTAGCATAAATGCCTCCTTCCCTGCAGTGATACTGAGCAGAGGGGGGGCAGGATACATATTCAGGCTGAATGGCGTGGAACTGCCCTGATCATCTGCACTGCTCCAGAAAAGTGAATCAACTTGGAGCTTCGGAGCCTCCTGCTTCCCAACGGGGGCAAGGGAGGCAGTGATCAGAGACAGGCCGCCTGGGTTCTACTCCTGGCTCGGCCGCTCACCTGCTACATGAAAGTCACCTCAGTTTCCCCTGGCTGGGGGAGAGAGAGGAGACAGCTTTAGTTCATCCACAGGTGCAGAACACCGATCTCCCTGAAGGACAAGTGCTCCACAGTTCACCAGACCACCCCGTGGGAGGACAGACTCCTCCAGATAACCTCGAAGCAGCACGTCAGTGGCAGGCGTAACAGAGGTAAGTAGCCTGTGCCCGCCCAGCACCCCTAGAGCTCTGCGGGAGGGTGGGGAAGCTCTTGGCACTGCTGACAGTGGGTAAGTCAGGCCCACATTTCCCAAAGCGTGCTGGGGCGTGATCCCTGCAGGGGTGCTGAGCGCTCCCTGCTCCCGGGGAGTTCAATAGATGCCCAGTGCCTTGCTGGGCGGGTGGGGAATCTGAAGCCCCCCAAAGTAGTGACCGGTGCTGGCACAGGACATTGGCTGGAGCCTCCATCTGTAAAGCGGGAAAGGTGCCCGCTGCAGAGAGCCGCTCGGACCCGTAAAGCATTAGTGCGCGGAGAGCCCGCGGAGGATGCCCAGAATAATGTACAGTCGTTCCAATCGCTTGTGCCACCTTCCCGTTTCAACTGGCGGGGCAGGGAGGAGCCGTGCTGCAGCTTGCCTCCGTCCCCCTCGGTGCCTGTGCGTGTGACCAGCCCGCCCGGTAAAGGAAGCCGCAAGGCCACGAGGGGCGTGCTCCCTCTCACCTTCCATGTTCATGTATCGCCGCAGTTCCTGGTCCAGCTGGCACTGCTTCTCCTCCAGCTTCAGCTCTTGCGCCCTGCAGGGGGAGAAAATAAGACCCGTGTCAGACCCCAGAGCCAGGACAGCAGCAGCCCAGGGCTTCTGCCCTGTGGGCCTTCAGTGTTGGGCAGATCTCCACTCCCCAGAGCAAGAGACTGAAGGAAGTCCTCTGCCCCATGTCTCTCTCTCTGAGGCAGCAGGTGCGTTTAAGGACACTGGTAACACTCCTGGGTGGGGGGGGTGGATTGGCAGGACATTGGGGTGACTGGAACTGGGCAATACCGTAAGCACATTTGGCACAGTGTAGGTGTAACAACTTTGCGCATGAAAGGCTCAGAGTTGTATGGGGAGCTCATGTCACCCTCTGCTGGCTGGGGACATGTGAGCAGGAGGCCAGCCGCACGCTGGAAAATAGAAACAGCCATTTTAGGCCACTGTGATGGGTTGCTGGGATTTGAAGGTTCAGTCTCGAATCTGGCCATCCCCCGGCAAGGAGGAGCCCTGGCCTTTCTAATGGCTAGAGCTCCTCTCACTCCCACCGTGGGGGCATCAGACCATGCCCCTGCTGTGGGACAGCCGCATTGCAGGCTACTGAGTTTTAGTGGAGGAGGAAGGATTTCGCTGCAGTTGTATTTAAAAGGGCAGCTGCTGGGACTGTTAGAGACAGTCCTGGCTGAGGCAGGTGGGGGGCAGAGCACAGGTGGGGCTATTGAAGGAGCACTGAATTGCACTGATCCCATGAATCCCAGTGCACCCCCCACATACACACACAACCGCGTCTTACTCAATCATGAGGTCCGACTCCTCGGAAACCAGGCTGTTCTTCTTCTGCACCAGAGAGAGTAACTTGTTCATCCACTGGGTCTTCAGCTCAGACTGGGTCCCTGGGGGGCGGGAAGAGGGGAGATTGTGTGGGTAGCACATAAAGATGCCCCAGAGATGTCACTGATCCGGAGACAAGGGCTGGTGAATGGGGGTTGGGGTGATGATACCCGTCCCTGTGGGACACTGAGACAGTGCATCCTAGTGGTGCCTGTCTGCAGGCACTGGTACATTGGGATTCCTCCTACCTCCTTCGCCCCGCAGTGATCTCTCCAGCTGTATCCCCTTCTCCTCCAGCTTCCGGAACGTCACCTCAATCTCCTCCAGACGCCTCTGGATGGACTGGAATGCACCAGAGAAAGGTCACTTGGATACTTTGTCTTCCTTTCCTAGCAACTCTAACCTCCGGGGAAGGGTCAAATGATGGCCTCTCCAGCTGCTGGCAAGGGGGAACGGATGCCAAGGACCAATTCTCAGCAGCCAGGAACTAATAATAATGTCGCCCTTGTACGGCACCTTTAATCAACGCACTATCATCGCCTACGCTCAGCACCCTGGGAGGCAGGCGTTAACTTTCCCCGTCTGTAAACTGCGGCTAGCCAAGCTCAGGCCTCACCAGTGCTGAGTAAAGCAGGACAATTACCTCCCATGTCAAACTACGGCACTCATGTTAATATGCCTCAGCCTTTTTCACAGCAGCATCATATTGACGACTCTCACTCAATTTGTGAGCCACTATCACCCCCAGATCCTTTTCAGCAGTAATACCCCCGAGCCGGTTATTTCCCCATTGTGTAGCTGTGCCTTTGATTTTTCCTTCCCAAGTGAAGTACTTTGCACTTGTCTTTATTGAATTTTGTCTTGTTGATTTCAGACCATTTCTCCAATTTGTCAAGGTCGTTTTGAATTCTAATCCTGGCCTCCAAAGTACTTGCAACCCCTCCCAGCATGGTTGCATCTGCAAATTTTATAAGCATCCTCTCCAGTCCAGTCTCTAAATCAATGCCCAAGAGAGTGAGTGAATAATGGTGGGGGGAGGAATGTTAGCGAGACACTTCAGGAGTTAACACAACGTGGTAAACGGATGATGCACAATTGCATACACTATCAATGGGGATGGTGAGGGGTTTGTCTTCCACTGAAACATCCAGCATTACTCACCGGGACTAGATCAATGGACCCTTGGTCTGTTCTCATGCAGCCATGTCTACGTTCCTAGCTCTAGCCACTGGTGTAGACAGGAACAGAAGACCAGACTGAGAAAATCCCTGACAGTAGGATGGGCTGGTATTGAGGAAGCTCTGAACTGGCCTATTGAGAGCTCTCCTAGCCCAGTGTCTGCAGTGATCTTGGAGATTCTCCCACCCCCGCCATTCCTTACTAGGACAGGCGGTGGGTAGAGGCCCCCCCAGCACCAGGGCATGGGCATTACCTGGGCTTTGCAGAACCTCTTCATCTCTTCCTCTTTGGCGCGGCGGGTCAGTGTTCTCTTCCAGGTGGGATATTTTTCCTTTTCGCCCAAACTTAGGAGACGCTGGAAGCACAGCACAAGAGCCAGGGTCAGAAGGGGGCACGCCTCCCATGGGGCTCAACAGAGCAGTCACAAGGCCCTGAGAGACTCGGTCTGGCCTTGGCCTGGGGCTGATTGAATGAGCCACAATTATTCTTTAATGTTCTTGAATCACCACCCACTGGCCAGCCCTTTACTAATGAGCATGAGGCAGGGTTCTGCCCCAGGAAGCCTACAATCTAGTTAGACCAGGTGAAGTTTAGGACAGAAGGAAAAGTGATCAAGGCAGGGGGGCGAGAGAGAGTCTGGGACCCACTTACTGCAAGTTAAACCTTGTGGTGTAGACAGGGCCCCTGTGCAAGTCCTCTTAGCCCCACAGTCACACCCACGTAGCTACATTAGTATTAGTCTGTTGCATTAACATCTCTATGGACTTCAGACTCATCACACTCACGTTCTCTGTTAAGTACCCAAGGTCTTGGCTCTCCTCCTCTTTCTCCTCCTCTTCGTCATCACTGTCAGTCTCCTCTACGTCTGTGCAGAGAAGAGCAGTTGATTTAGGACTAGCCCCGGGCAGGTCCTCTGGCAATCAGGGGTACAACTCACCTTCACAGCTGTAAATCGCTGGTGGACCCAGCTGCGAGATACCCAGAGCTCAGAGGAGAGAACTGGCTGGCAATGGGAACAGCACATTCGGTCTCATTTGGCCAGACTTCTCCATGGCTCATTCAGGGCCCGGGTCTGCCGGCTGGGGAGCCAGCTGGAACCAAGCGTGATGGTGGGTTTTGGGAGCTGGGCACCTGTCCACTACGAACTGGGTTGTGACCCACCCCCCTCGTCTCACACAGCAGCTCAGACAGTGGCAGCAGGGGAAGGAGCCTTCACAGTCCACTCTGGGGCCACCCAAATACTTGGGCCTCAGTTACAGCCGTGGGCAGTATTGTTGCAGGCACAGGGAGATCAGCCACCACCCTGGCAGCCTTCTGCCCTGTAAGTCACGGGGGCACCCACGGGTGCTCTGGGGGAGAGGGAGAAAGCATCTTGACATGGTGCTGGGGGAAAGGCGGGAGGGGAGTTCACAGCCTGGCTAGGTAACTGAGCACTCAGCTGCACCAGAGACTCAGAGACTGCAATTACCTTCGGCCTCCTCGCTGAATCCAGGCTCAACCCAGCAGACCTGCCCTCTCTCCAGAGTACCCTGGTCCTTCGCCGGGGCGGCGCTTCGGAATGGCTCTGAGCCTGCCTGGTGCTTCCCAGGACCCCCCTGGCTTTCTGTCTCGGAGTCCAGGCTGAGCGTGGACAGCTTGAGCTTTTCCAAGGGCGACAGCTGAATTTTCTTCCTCTTCCTGCTGTCTTCCCCCTCCTCCTCAGCCTGCCTGAAGTCGGGGGCTGCGGGCCCCTTTTCTGGAGGCCGAGGCTCTGGGCTGGGTTGCTGCAGCACTGTGCCCGAGCGGCTGTATTCACGGAGACTCTGTTCCTCCCGCTGAGGCCAGCCGCTGGCCCGATCTCCTAGGCCAGCGCCAGGCTCCTGAGGCTGGGCCCTGCCTGCCACAAGGGAGGAGATGGGCCTTCCCACATTCTCCTCCAGCACAGTGCGGGGCTGAGCTGCAGGTTGCTGCATGTCTGCCGTGCCAGAGCCTCTGTCCTCTCTGGCTAGAACGGCGCCCTCCCCAGCTCCTCCAGCTCCCTCCCACGGCTCTGACGGCTGAGCCGCTGCCAGCTGTTTCGGGAAGGAGGACAGGCTCCCAGGCGGGCCCTGCCCATCAGAATCCACTCTGAGCTTCGCCGCCCCAGTGGCCAAGCCCAGGCTGCCAGCGTCGGAAGGAGAGCAGAATCGGGCGCCCTGGGAGGGATCCTAGCAGGGGCCAAACGCAGAGGGTTAGAACTGCAGCTGGGAAGCAGCCACAGGGAACTGCATTTGCTAGCTGGTTACCAGATCAGCCCAGAGTCCATTTACTGCTTTGCTACTGGACAGGGCTAAATCTGCAGGGACGGGCGCAGCTGGCCAATGGTGGACACATCCCCACTTACCTCCTGTGGTGCGGCACAGCATGCGCTGTCCGTCACCTCCATGCTGTGGGGGCTGGAATAGTGCAGCATGCAGTAGAAGTGTCCTGGGGAGGGAAACCAGACAGCGTCATAGGAGGACTTGTGGGGATGCTGCCGACTCATACTCAGTCCCACGCTCTCATCACTATGGATCAGATTCCTCCGCTACCCTCCCTCGCCTTTACCACAGGTAGCAGCACCACTGATTTCAACAGGCCGACTTAGTGGGCAGAGACCATCGCCGTCCACAATGGCCAACAGAGTCTCATTGTTCCCTTGTACTCCACCGTCTGATGTCCCTTGTCTTATACTGAGCCCCTGCCCCAAGGAGCTTACAATCTGTCTCTCTGCTCTGTGTTTGTACAGCACCTAGCACAACGGGGCATGACTGCTCCTGGGCACTACGGCCATGCAAATAAGAAATAATCAAAGCTGAGGGGTAAGGGTAGGGTAGGGTCCAGATCTAGGGTTGCAGTAACAACCGCTTCCTGGAGCGGATCAGAATAAAAGAATTAAGGGAAATGGAGCAACCTCCTGCCTGTATTAGATTAACAGCGGAACCCGAGGGAAGGTGGCAAAAATGGGTAGAAATGGATTAAATATATAAATATTATACATCAGTCAAACGACTTTTCTAATCAGGATTCGTCTGCGTACTGCAGCTCCCCTCCTACACTGCATCAGCTCTGCTGTAGTCCTCTTATCTTTGTTACTGTCTCAATCCTTAGGGAAGAAAACAATGTGTCCTTTCAGCGATTCTGATTATCCCAAGAGTAACTACATTAAACACACAAAAGCAGCTTTTATAAGCCCTACAGCCAGCGGAAATGTTCCCATGTGGCTGGTTTTTAAACTATTGTCTACTGAAAACAGTTGTTTTTAAGCAAACGTCCCCCTGCCATTGTTGGACAGGCAAATATCTCGCAGGGCTAAAAACCTGGGGAGGAAACTGACGAATGGTTTGTCTATGCAGCTTGAGTCCAACTCCAGGCTGCCCTATGGGCTTTACCCTGAGCTGCTAACCCGAGTGAGCAGCCAAGTTGCTGCATCTTCACTGCTATTTTAGCCCAAATTAAAGCATACACCTTTTGTTTAATGTAGACGTACCCTAAAACAAAAAGAAAACGGACACTGGCTGGTTTTCATTGGCCAAGCTGCACGAAATGCCAAGAGGAAAGCAAACAGCAGGAATAGTGATGACAGGTAGACTGGATTTTACAGTTCTCTTCCTTTTTAAAAGCCGGAAGTTCTCAGTAACGTGGGTGAAGATTAACGTTGGTTAATCACATGATTTTAAGTTGACGCTGTTCCTTTAAAGCAGGTTGTAAACTTAATGGAACTGGGAGACCGAAGTCCTGCATTTCTTACTGGTCGCTGCCCGGGTCTTTAACTCAGACCTTCCTCCCCACAGCTGGTCACTGCCAGTCAGGTGTATTTTTGCACTGATGCATTAGGGCATTTTGCATTAGGGCAAGTGCCATACAGAATATCCTACATGGAACTGCTGGTGCTCTGCCATGACGAATAATGTAGTGAGTTCATAAAACTCGGCGAGTACTAGACCTATTCCCTGGAATTTTAAAGTAGGCAGTAAATTAGAGGGAAGAGGTATCGTTTCATTTAAAAACACCTTCCCTCCTCTGCCTCCCGTGAATACAGCTCCACCTGTGGGGGTTGTGAGCATCCTACACACACACACACACACACACACCGCTAGACCGTTCCATTTGAATGGGAGGGTGTTGAAAGTGCTGAAGGCAAACAGGGCATTAAATAACAATCTACTGTTTCTATGACCCTGCCCTTCTCAAAAATAACCCTACATACATCCCAGCAGCCGGCTGGCGCAGGGCACACAATGGGGAGAGGGTGGGAAATCCCGGTCAAGACACTGGCACAGACCCTTGTGCAGAGCAGACAGGGCCTTGGTTTACGTGGCTGTCACGTACTCAGCCGCATGGAGCTCAGATGTGGAGCCTTTCCGTTGGGATAGGTGGACTCAGCTGACTCAAGGCTGGCAGGGCCTGTTATGAGGCAGCTCTGGGAGCTGCCTGGCTGGATCACGAAGCCCAGACTGCCCCTGGCCTGTAGTTTCTCAGGGCTTGTCTCTGTACCCAGCCCCGTTCCTGGGACCCACCGTCATCCTCGTCGAAGACGAAGTCTCCCAGCCGCAGCGTGGTTCCGCATTGATGACACTGGAAGCAGCCTCGGTGGAAGAAGTGCCCCTCGGCACTGACCCGCTCCAGGATGTACACCCGCTTGCCGCAGAAGTAACAGGCATCGCTGCTCTCCGCGGGGGAGGTGAGCGAACTCTGCGGAGGAAGCCAGACAGCAGCCTTGGGGCCAGGCCATCTACGCAGCTACCCTGCGCTACCCACGCGTAACCCTGATCGGCCCGCCCGAGTGCCAGCCACCCGCGAGGCACTAACTGTGCTGGGCTCCCTGTTTGTGAGCTTGGACTCGGGCTCCAGCCCCGGCTTGCCAGAGCCCTGAGGCGGGTTGTGATAGCTCCCGAGTGGGGATAGCAGAACCCGACCTAGGAACACAGGCCGGGGGATGGAAATGACTAGTCACCGGTGGGGAGGAGCTTAGAGGGGTCCCTGCAAGCATTGCTTTGCACAGCCCCAGCCCCCCAACCCTACCTTACAGTCCCCCCAGGGCCTGGCACTAAGGGTCCATTGGCACTGGGGCGGGAGGTGTAAATTCCAGCTAGAGAAGCCGTACTCGGGCTAGCACTAATACTAGAGCATAGCCCCGCTGGGCCAACAGGCTCCCCCTCCCCAGGTACGTTCCCCTCTGAGCCTCTCGGCACATCCTCAGGCGGCCAGCCCCTCCTGCTGGGTATACACCTGTACTCTATTTATAGCATGCGAGCTCGACCACAGCTGGAGCGGGCACGTCTCCTCGAGCTGGAATTCACATCTTCAGTGTAGATGTCCCCTCACACACAACAATGCTAGAGCCACTAGGCTCCGCTCCTCTAAATACTCCAGCCACCACCAGTCTGGTCTGGATTCAAACCGGCGGCACAGGGAGATGGCTCCTTGCCTCAATACCCACCCTGGGAGCTCTTTAAACTGAGCTGGGATTTCCCTCGCCAGCCCCCCGCCCCGTCACAGCAAACGCAGGAGACGTCTGGCCGGCTGCCCAGCCACCACGGCTGGTGTGACAGAGAACGGTTCCCGGGAAGCAGAAACTAACCTGCCGCCTGCCCAGCAAGGAATCGGAAGGGTTGATCTCCGGGGGTTGAGGCTGCTCCTGGCGGTTAGTCCCCCAGCCAAGGTCAGCAATGAACAAGTCGCCTTCCACCCCTGATTCCAGCTATACAGCAACCCAATGGGGGAAATCGAAACACATGACTATGGCCAGTGAGCAGGCCAGCATCTTCTGCGGTGACTGTTACAGGAGCCCGCTCCCTTACAAGTGTGGCCTTGGGCCAGAAGGGGCTTTCGGCCTGCACATGCGTGTGTACGATCTGTCAGCCATGATCTGATCTGTCCAGACATTGCACACATGTTCCTTGCACAGCCACGGGCCTCAGAGCCTCACGCTCACCCACACACTGCAACAGACGCCCATGCGCCCTTCTGGAATCTGGGGCAATGGCTCCAGAAAGGGCAAGGAGATTAACGGACGCAGATTTCAGTGCCTAGATGTCAAATCGCAGGCCAGTGCTTGGACACGGGGCAAGGCTCCCATGGCACCCCCATCACCCCCTCCACTCTCTCCATAATAAAACTCCCTCCAGCGCTGGTTCCCACCGCTCGAGGCAGCCAGAGAGGTCGCCGCTGAGCAACACAAAGTGTTCCCTTCCCTGGGCCGCAGCCTGCTGCCCTCACAGCGTGACAAGGCCAGGGGCCCAGGTCTTGCATACGACATCCCCTGTGTCCTAGCTCCTAAACTGGCCCCGGCCACATATGCTTAAGAGAGCAGGAAAACTCACCCCTGCTTCTCTTCTCGTCCTCTTGGTCTCAGCATCCTTCTGGGCACTGTCCTGAAATCACAGATGGGGCTGCCTGAGTGAGACGCTGCGGCAGCAGGACGCTCCGGGTCTATGGTAGCGCCGCGTACGTTTCTCTGCTACCCTCGCACCAGTAGGGTGCCCCCGGGGCAGCTCAGGGAGGGAACAGCGCCAGCTCACCAGAGCCAGCTGCAGGCATTCGTGTTACCAGGGAGTGGGTTGGCTCAGAGTGCCGGACACCTCTTCCAGGTCCTCGTGAGCACCTGGGCCATAGACAGGGCACAGCCCTGGCTCCCAGCGCCCGCTGCACAGCGGGAGACACTCGGAGCATTTACCTGGTTGCGCTTGCGAGTCAGACTCAGAGTCTTCTGGAGCTTGCTGAGGAACAGGACGGCTCCCCGGGTGCCGGGAGGAGCCAGCAGCTTCCTCGCTCTCTCCTCTGGTTCTGCAAGGGAGAGAAAACAGGCTCATGACAGGATCTGGGCCCAGCCTGGCAGCTAGCACACGGATGCTGCAGAAAGGGAGCATGTGCCATCTCAGCCGGAATCCCTCCAGCCAGCGGAGGAGGAAGGCAATCTTCAGGCCTCCCTAGGGCTGTGAATTGCAGCGTCCAGATGTGGGAGCTGGGCGTTCTGTGTCTGACAGCTGGGCTCCCTGCCAGCACAGGGGAGGCCAAGGTTCAAGTCCGGCTCTCGCTCCAGAGGATGGTGGGCACGCTGGAGGTAACAGCCTGCCCGGGAGTTAATTCTGCAGGGTGCCGGGACGTGCCTGGCTGGCTAGCAGCCCACTCCAGCCACGAGAGAGACTTGCACCTCACAGGGCCTGGACTAGGTTCCCAGAGCGAGGCAGAAGAACCCCTCCACCCAGCCCCCAATGCTCCTCCTTGTCTGCGCGGGGCAGGGTGCACAGCCTGCCCCACAGGTCACATAAGGTGAGGGGAAACTCAAATCGAGATGGGGAAAACTAACTCCATGATTCCCACTGTCCATTTTAAACCAGCGAGTCCCCTGCAAAGGGAACCGCTCAGCAGCCAACTCCAGAGTCCGGCCCGGCGTCCTTCAGTCGTTCCCACCTTGACTATCCTGACCATGGCTGGAGGAGAGCAGCCGCAGGGCTGGGAGCTGATACCCCCAGACATCCAGCCCTGCCCCTGAGGGTCCTCACTTGCAGAAGGCTTGAAGGCTTCATAGAACTGGCTCAGGTAGGTGATGAGTCCGAGCTGGTTGGGCTCGGCCCCGGCGGCCATTTCGGTGCTGGAGAGGACGGGCGGGATGCCTAGCTCCTGCTCGGCTATGTCCAAGGCCATCTGGTTGTTCTTGAGGGGACTGTGCTGGTCCAGGGAGTTGAAATCTCTAGGGACAGAAACAGGGCGTCAGGCTGAGGGGACGGGAAAGCCGGCGCTGTCGCGTCAGACTCTGCTCAGGAGCAAGGGCGCCCGGGGGCTAACCCGGCTTAGATTTCCCCCTCCTCGTCCGGTGAAGGAACAAACTAAGCACAAGCGAGTCAGGCAGCTGCATGCCTGCCCCATGCCCTCCACACTGACGACACAGGAAGCAGTCTCGGTGGAAGAAGCACCCCTCGGCACTGGGCAGCACATGGGGGATCATCCATTGGATCAAATGCTGCAACATTCAGCAAGGGTGGGGGAGCAAAGGTCAGGTTGGGGGGAACTAGATCCTTGGGGGTGCAGGGCAGGGTAGTAGGAGGTATCATCCAGTCGCCACGAAACACAGATCACCCCCCCGCAAACCGGCACCTAGGAATTCCCAGCAGCAGCCACCCCGCCTGCACCGCCGGGACACACACACGTTCCCAGCCCGGGGACAAGTCTTTTGTGGCAGCCCAGCCGGGGTCGTCCTCCCGTCCCCAAGCCATTGGGACAGGGTGGAGCCTTACAGGAGGTTGGGCCGGAAGTGGTGGATGAGGGCGCACAGGGCCAGGCCGCTTTTCCAGGAGTGCGTGAAGTCCATCACCGCGACGCCGCGGTAACCCTCCGTGTGGGTCTGGCACCAGCTCAGGAGCCCCTCATAGGCCCTGCCGACGTCTGGAGGAGAGAGAGCATAAGGCACGGGGCTGGATGCAGGCACCGGTCTGGGACTGTGGGGGAACAGCTGTAAAAGGGAGCAGCTTGGGGATCAGAGCTGGGAAACCTACAATCACCTCCATCGATGGCCTTGGGCTGCAGGGGGCAGGCCCGGCCTGGGCCTCTGGGCAGCCACATTTCTGCCCAGCAGGTGGGTCGCTTCCTTGGGCTGCAGACCATGGGAGCAAGGGCATGCGGCTCGCGGAGAAGACGGGGAGACCGTGTCTCCTGTTAGCTGCTACTAAGGCGACAGCACCCCCAGATGCAGCCTAGGACAGGTTCCCATGGCGACCTGCCAGCCATCGGGGAACATGTGGCTCCCAAGGCCACCGCCCAAAAACCGAGGGAAGAACTGCTCATACCCCCTCCAGGGAGGGAGCCACAATCCCCATGCCTGGCTCCCCACCCTTCTGCAGCACTCGGACACTCTGGCCCCTGAAGGCTCCTGGGACGCTGCTGGGGTGAGCGGAAGTGGGGCAGGAGGAAGGAGGGAGAGCCCTGGGGAGGAGAAGATGGGAGAGGATCTAAAAGAGGAGCCAGAGGGTGCACAAGGTCCCAGCCCCACTGCTGCCCTGCCAAACGCACACTGCTTGGGTGTAAGCGGGCACATGGAGAAAGGGCACCGATAGGGTGGAAAGCCAGAGAGAAAGGGGCTCCGACGGGAGCCAAGTCAGGCAGGCACCCAGCAACGATGCTGGGTGAGGGGGGAAGCTTCCACCAGCCGCTGCTTCTACAGGGTGAGGAGGGTGGCGCATGCCCAGGGTGGAAGGCAGGGGGGATCCGTGCAGCTGGATGCCAAGAGGTGGGCCCCCAGACTTGCCTCTGCTGTTGCGACTGTCTCTCTTCTTATGGTCGATCTCGATCTTCCCCACTACATACAGGTCACGGACCTGCAGAGAGAGACACCCCGAGAGCTCTACTCACCCTGAGAGCCAAAACCCCAGGAGAGGGAACACAAGGAGCGTGCGGCCCTCTGACAGAGCACGCAGCCATGCCCTCTCTCCTTCTGAGACCAAGCTGGCTAGCGACCTGTGCAGCTCACCACTGGCTCTTCCCCAGAGCTGGCTGCATTCGCTTGCTTACTGGGCCTGTGCACAGTCAGCTGCATCGTGGATTTGCGGTTCATTCCTGTATTACCCTCTGGCTCTCAAGCTGTGCAGATATACACCCGTCCCTGGGGCCGAGGGCAGCAGCCAGGTGGAATCAGTATGGGGTGGGCGGTTACAATTTGGACTATCCCATCACTCCTATGAGAACAGGGCAGACACCTCGCTCCATGCTTGGCTCCCAGGAATGCAAAGGCAGCGCCAAGCAGATGCAATTATCCCTTGGTGGAGGTAACAAACCAGGCAGGGAGAGAGAAATGGCTTTAGGAACAGGGGCTGGTGCTTGTGACACCCGCTGCAGGGCAGGATCTCCGCGTGGCCTGGACGAGTTACCTGGTTGGGCTTTATGGCTTGGAGGTTGATGTTGCGGTAGCGAGTGGTAGGGTCAATGCTGTACTGGCTGATGTTTTTGTTGGTGTTGTCGGGGGATGTTTGAGACAGCTGCTGGTAGATGCTCTCCCTGTGCAGAGGAAATGAGCCGGGTTACACACGGCCGTTCCTCCACCGCTGATCTCAAAAGTGAAGAAGATAAAGAACCGAGGGTTCAGAAGAGGAAAATAGAAAGGAGCATAAACTTTGGGAAGTCAAGTGTAAAGGCGTAAGTAGGCAGGCCAGGAGAGGGTTTGAATAGCAAGTAGCTAAAGACACAAAAACCAACAGCAAATTTTTTTAAGTACATCAGAAGCAGGAAGCCTGGCAAACAGTCAGTGGGGCCACTGGACGATCCAGGTGCTAAAGGAGCACTCGAGGAAGACAAGGTCGTTGTACACAAGTGAAATGAATTCTTTGCACCAGTCTTCACTGCAGAGGATGTGGGGGAGATTCCCACACCTGAGCCATTCCTTTTAGGAGACAAATCTGAAGAACTGTTGCAGATTAAGCAGGTTTTGGAATAAACTGATACATTAATCAGTAATAAATCAGCAGGACCAGTTGGGATTCACCCAAGACTTCTGAAGAAATTCAAATCTGATGGCAGAACGACTGCCTGTGGCATGTAACCTCTCGCTTAAATCAGTCTCTGCACCAGATGACTGGAGGATGGCTAATGTAACGCCAATTTTTTAAAAATGCTCCAGGGGCAATCCTGGCAATTACAGGCCAGTAAGCATAACTTCAGTACCAGGCAAATTGGTTGAAACTATAGTGAAGAACACAATTATCAGACACATAAATGAATTCGATACAGAATCATAGAATCGTAAGACTAGAACAGACCTCGAGAGGGCATCTAGTCCAGTCCCCTGCACTCATGGCAGGACTAAGTATTATCTCGACCACCCCTGACAGGTGTTTGTCTAAGCTGCTCTTAAAAATCTCCAATGATGGAGATTCCACAACCTCCCTAGGCAATTTATTCTAGCGCTTAACTACCCTGACAGTTAGGAAGTTTTTCCTAATGTCCAACCTAAATCATCCTTGATGCAATTTAAACCCATTGCTTCTTGTCCTATCCTCAGAGGTTTATGAGAACAATTTACTCCCTCCTCCTTGTAACAAACTTTATGTACTTGAAGACTGTTATCATGTCCCCTCTCAGTCTCTCTTCTTCACACTAAACAAACCTAATTTTTTCAATCTTCCCTCATAGGTCATGTTTTCTAGACCTTTAATCATTTTTGTTTCTGTTCTCTGGACTTTCTCCAATTTGTCCACATCTTTCCTGAAATGTGGTGCCCAGTACTGGACACAATACTCCAGTTGAGGCCTAATCAGTGTGGAGTAGCGCGGAAGAATTACTTCTTGTGTCTTGCTTACAACACTCCTGATAATACATCCCAAAATGATGTTTGGTGAAGAGTGAAGACAGCTTTTGTAAAGGGAAATCATGCCTCACCAATCTATTAGAATTCTTTGAGGGGGGTCAACAAACATGTGGACAAGGATGATCCAGTGCATATAGTGTACTTGGACTTTCAGAAAGCCTTTGACAAGGTCCCTCACCAAAGGCCCTTAAACAAATTAAGCAGTCATGGGGTAAGAGGGAAGGTCCTCTCATGGACCAGTAACTGGTTAAAAGACAGAAAACAAAAGGTAGGAATAAATGGTCAGTTTTCACAATGGAGCAAAGTAAATAGCGATGTCCCGCAAGGAGCTGTACTGGGACCAGTGCTGTTCAACATATTCATAAATGATCTGGAAAACGGGGTAAACACTGAGTTGGCAAAATTTGCAGACAGTACAAAATTACTCAAGCTAGTTAAGTCCAAAGCTGACTGTGAAGAGTTACAAAGGGATTTCACTAAACTGGGTGACTGGGCAACAAAATGGCAGATGAAATTCAATGTAATGCACAGTGGAAAACATAATCCCAACTATACACATAAAATGATGGGGTCTAAATTAGCTGTTACCCCTCAAGAAAGTTCTTGGAGTCATTGTGGATAATTCTCTGAAAACATTGGCTCAACGGGCAGCAGCAGTCAAAAAAGCGAACAGAATAATAATAATAATAAATTACCCTCCAGATAATAAAACAGAAAATATCATAATGCCACTTTACAAATCAACGGTACACCCACACCTGGAATACTGCATGCAGTTCTGGTCACTCCATCTCAAAAAAGATATATTAGAATTGGAAAAGGTACAGAAAAGGGCAACAAAAATGATTAAGGGAATGGAACAGCTTCCATACGAGGAGAGATTAAAAAGACTGGGACTGTTCAGCTTAGAAAAGAGACAACTGGGGTTATGATAGAGGTCTATAAAATCATGAATGGTGTGAAGAAAGTGAAGAGGAAAGTGTTGTTTACCCCTTCACATAACAGAAGAACTATGGTCTCCCGATGAAATTAATAGGCAGTGGGGTTAAAACAAATATAATGAAATATTTCTTCACCCAACGCACAGTCAACCTGAGGGACTCGTTGCCCGGGGATGGTGTGAAGACCAAAAGTATAACTAGTCTCAAAACAGAATTAGATAAATTCATGGAGGATCGGTCCATCAATGGCTATTAGCTAAGATGGCCTGGGTATCCCTACACCTGCAGCTCTCAGAAGCTGGGAGTGGACAGCAGGGGATGGACCACTCAAAATTGCCCTGTTATGTTCATTCCCTCTGACGCACCTGGAACTGGCCACTGTGAGAAGACAGGATACTGGCTAGATGGACTATTGATCTGACCCATTATGGCCGTCCTTAAGAGCTCAGAGTGCGAGTGATCTAGGCAGACACCACAGCTATAACAGCACAGCCTGCAATCAGGCGCTTCCTGGCAGTCACTAGTCTTGAGAAGGGTTGAATTAGGTGCTAAGCAAAGGTGCCAGCTTGACAGTGCAGACTTCCCCCACACCCGCGCCCTACCATGCAGGGACCCCTTGAGGAGCCAGAAGGGAGCTCAGTCATTCCTTACCCTCTCTGCTGAGACTGCCAGTTGTGCGTGTGATCGCTGGTTGTGCAACACGGACACCTGTCCGCTAGGAACTAGAGTGAGACCCAAACTCAGTTCAGACAGGGCACCAGACAGCCACCATTACTGCCCTGGGCCGGATTCCAGGGGGTGAACTAGAAGTGAAAGGCTCCGCACTGCCCTGAGCCAGCCAGTCCCCCGCATGCCCACAACATTGCCAAAGCAGCTCTGAGCCATGCCCTCGAGGAGGGGACGTCCTGCTGCAGTGAGCCATGGCAGCAAAGTCAGCTAGGGAGGCAGAGTCAGCCAGCAACTTGGCACCGCTGCCAATCCAAATAAGCCATGCACAGCTTGGTTCTGAGCACAGCCCCTCGCAGCAGCCATGCTACCTAAGCCTCTCCCTTGCAGGGGGCTGGAAACAGCTGATGCACATGGATCTAAGGATGCCTCATGCCCTGAGCACCTGATGTGCCGTATCCTACCTGCTGTACAAAGGCACCAAGTTCTCCAGAGCAGGGATTGTCTTTACATTTCGGAACAGAGGGGTTTTCAGACTGGATCAGATTAGGGGCCCATCTAGATTAGTATCCTGGCTCCAACAGTGGCCAGCACCTGCTGCTTCAGAGAAAGGTGCAAGAACCCTGCAGTTATGGGATTACCTGCCCCCAGGGGAAGTTTCCTCCTGACCCTCTATCATTAGAGGTTGGCTTGTGCCCTGATGCATGAGGGTTGATAGCTCTTGTACTGCACCAAGCAAACACACATGACTGAGAATAGCCCTCACCCCACCCCCATCTGCCTTTGCAGGAGTAGAGTCCTCACCTCTCAGCCAGAAGGTCCAGCGGGGCGGTTCCTGCCGCCCATCTTTTCACCATCCAAGCAGCATCAAAGGCGGCCAAAAAACCCCGAGCCACGCCAGTGCCCAGAGGCCAGAATGGCTACAAAACAAGAGACAGAGAGAGCGGAGGGGGTGGGAGCTGCACATGTGTTCAGTAACCCTAGGGGAAGATTTTCAGAGTCTTGGCTGAGGTCCCTGGCACACAACAGCCTCCGGCTTAGAGTGCAATTGCACGCACAAAAAGCAACCTGCTCCTGAGGTCTGGAAGGTGGGTGCTGTGATTGGGAGCCACCCGGGCTGGTTCTCACACAGTGCTCAGCACTCACACAGCTGCTGCCCTCCTGGGTAGCTGCCAGTGGAAGAAGTCAGAGCTGCATGTCAGCAGAGGGGAGCACTCATCTGGGGAGCTCCTGCTTCAAGCCTCTCCCCTCCTTACTCCCACCCCTGACCTCTGAAAAACCAGAGCCTGGGTGTCAGCTGGGAAGCTGAGCTCTCCCAGACAAAGGGCTGCTAGTGGAGGGTGTGCTCGGGACAGAGCCATGGGGCCCAGATCGAGGATGGGACCCCAGGCTATAGAATAAACAAAGGGGAGAGATTAGAGGAGAGTCAGCTCTCTCCCTGGTTGGCTGGAAGGACGACCCTCAGCCCACACAATCCAGAGACAGCATTCAGCCCAGAGACTCAGAGGAGCCTGGGGCCCTGGGCGGGGCACGGCTCAGAGAAGGAGACACAGGCACACAGCTCTGTGTGAAGCTGCCTAGTTAAATGAGGCCTGGACAATTTCCAAACCCTGGGCGGGCTCTGCCATGTGGCTCAGATGCAGCTTGCAGGGACCCCAGGCTCCAGCGTGCCCTTGATCCTAGTGGCTGGGCAACACAGAACCCTGCCCGGCACTGGGACCGGTAAGTCTCAGCACTTTGGTGCCCACTGTCCAGTCATCTTTGGCACGTGGACAGTGCTTTTTGCTAGGGATCTCCCAGCCCCGCACACGTTAACGAACCTGCTCAGCCCCACAGGGGTGGTCGTTATTCCAGTTCAACAGAGAGGGAAACCGAGGCACACAGGGGTGAATGTTCCGTAGCGAGTCGGTGTCAGGAATGGAACCCAAAGTCCTGACGCTCAGCCCTTGCTCAAACTACTAGCTGGCTCCATGCTATATAAGGCTCCATTTTCACAACGAGTGAGGGGTGGGGGTCCCCGTCCGTGTGCATGCACTCACGCTAGCTTTCATTGAGCTAGCGTGAGTATTAATCACAGCACAGCCACGATAGCGCAGGTAGCGGCAGCAGAGCACAGGCCAAGCATAAACCTGCGTGAAACCGGTGGCTACATACTGGGCCCGGATAAGCCGCACCTCCCCTGCTGCTACCCCTGCTACCGCGGCTGCGCTGCTCTTTATACTGGTGCTAGCTCGACAAAAGCTAGCACCAGTACGTGGACACGTGCAGGGGAATCCCACCGCTAGCTTGTGGTGTAGACATGGCCTATATCAGGAGCAGCTCTTGGGCTCCTGGCATGACACCAACACTGCCCCAATTGCTACAGCACGTGTTTAAAGATGCTGTCTCGGGTTAGGGGAAGAATCGCCACAGCTGGGAAACACGGGCATTGCCCTGAGCGGGAGTGGGGAGTGTGGCCGATCAGTCTGCTGCCCGACGGGGAGAGTTAGGGTTTGCATAAAGTCTGCCCCTGGGCTGGCCGCGCTGCCAAGGGGACACTCTCATGGAAGGCAACACCTCCAGCCTTGCAAGCTAAGGCTGCAAAGGGATCCCGGCCAGAGCCCATCCCCGCTGCCCCACGCTTGTTCGTCTCTCATTAGTGGGGCACTGACCTCCACCAGACAGTCTCCCACCAGCCCGATGAGAAGCCGGGCCCCGTGGCACTCGCGCACCAGGGCCGCGTTCTCCGAACGGTTCATGCAGGTGAAGTCAAACATGTCGACGTCCGGGCGGTTCCGGTGGTTCAGAGCGAACTCCAAGTCAGGCAGCTGATAGTTGGTGGAGAAGTTGGCGGCTTCCTTGGCATAGCTGAGGAGGGCTTCTTGATTGACGTTCTCAGCAGACAGCAGGCTCTCTATGTCCGCTTTGTCCTACGGGAATGGGGTTGGCGGTTTACTCAAAAGGGGATTCCTGGCACACGTGCCCGAAAGCATATTTGTTTGTAAAGCAAAGGGATCACGTCACCACCTATCAAGATGCAGCCACCTCTGAGGTGGATCACGGCAGCTGAATAAGAGTGCACAGCAACAGGCACGGGCAGGAAATATAAAATTAGAACGTATCCCACTGAAATCACAAGGAGCGATGTAGGTCAGCAGAATGTAACAGCCGCGTGGAAATTTGCCAGGACACACCCACTCTGTCAAGGAGCGCCATAGAGCTTTAGTGGTTGGCACCTTCGTTTTAGGTCTCATCTGAAAAATGGTCTTTCCGGCAGCACTCTGCTCCTAGCACCAGACTGGTGCATTGGCCCAGGGTACGTCTACACTGCAGCCTCTGAGTGTGACTGCAACTTGAGCTGCGGTAGTAGCCACGCTAGCTTTAATCTAGGTACTGGAGCCGTGAAGCCATGGCAGTACGAGCTGTCCAAACCCACCTGGAACTTCACACACTGAAGCAGCTCCGCCGGGCCGGGACCTGAGCAACCCGCATTAACGCTAGCTTGGGTACGTCAGCTGGAGCGGCAGTCACACCCAGTGCTTGTGGGCTAGACATACCCTAGAGAGAGAGAAGTGCCTCTCAGCGAATCCCCGGCACCATTTCTGCGTCCTCTGGAGGCCTCCCAGCCAGGCACTGACCCCAGCCCTTGCAAGTGCTGCCAGGATGGTAGCACAATGCCCCATGCCTCCACGTACATGTACCTTATGTTCCAATACGCTGGGCGCGTGCAACCCAAGCTGGTGCCCTGGTGAACTCAGCTGTTTGGTCCCATCTCTCCCGCCCTGTTATTATGACTAGAAGGAGGGAAGTGACTGGAATTCAGATTCCCAGAGCTCAGTCCCCAACACGCTAACTCCCCACAGCCCTGCCCACGGCAGCCAGTCTCCTCCCCACGCCCGTGCTGGGCCCCACAAACCCCCTCACCTGTACAATGACCCCCTTTTTGAGCAGGCTCTGTTTTTTGGCTGTCATGACAAAATAGTGGGTGTCGTCTTTGTAGTAGACAATGTTCTCCAAGTCGATACCTGGCACGGGGCAAAGGCATAAACAGAGGGTTGAGCTGGAGCTGGGCAGAGAGAGCTGGCGTGAGAATGCCGTCCGAGGACAGGCAGCTGCCCCACAACCTGCTCCATCCACAGACAGACAGGCATGGAGGGCCAGAAGGAACGCAGCAACCACCATCCCAGATGAGGCTAGGGAGGCCCTACTCTATGGGTAGGGGTCTCGGACAATGGCCAGTACCAGCTACTTCACTGAAGAAGATAAAACCCCCACAATGGACACATGCCATAGAGAAGTTTCTTCCTGACCCCAGGCTGTTAGTAGTTTGCGTGTGCCCTGATGCATGAGAGTTTATATCTGTTTTATATGTATACAAGAACATAAATATCCAAATGTAACATCACTTTTGATGCTCTTACTGTGCATATCACAAAAATGTGCAGCTGGAAGGGACCTCAAGAAGTCATCTAATCCATCCCCCATATAAACTTCTAGCCCAGTCCAGCCTCCATATAAACCTCTGGTCTCAGTGCTATCTAGTGGCAGTGAGTCCCACAGGTGAATGAAGCATTACATGAAAAAAACTGAGAAAAGGAAGTTCTCAAGTAGGTTCGTTTTTAATTTCACTGAGGGTCCCTTGTTCTTGTGGTATCACACAGGGTCAACAGAGGTGCCCCATTAATGTCCTCTCTGCAGTTGGCTAGGTTATTTCCCCCTCTGGTAGCCTTCCATCTTCCCAGCTCAGGCTGTTGGCAAATGGCCCCAATTACCTGAAGCCCCTGGGGGAGGGAGGGACCGTCTCTTCGTTCTGTGTTTGTACAGCGCCTGGCACTGTGGGGGGCTGGGCCACGATTGGGGCTCCCATGTGCTACCACTAATCAAATAAACAACATCAGCTGCCCCTGATCTCAGTGCTGGAGTCCCCTTCTCTGAGCACACCCTCTGCTGAGGAGGGACCTCTGCTGCCTGTTGAATGCCCCCCCTGGCCCCATCGCACAGCAGGGGGTGGGTTGATGCAGCCCTGGAGAACTGGGGATGCCAGGGGAAGGGGTTAGCTGACGGGGGAAGGCCCTGCTGACCAGTTTTATTGTAGAGGTTCTGGAAGAACTGCTGGTTGTAGATGCGGGCCACACCGCTGATCTCGGCCACCTCCACCTCGGCCCGGCTGTGGCGGTTGACGAAGTTGGTGGTGATGCCGATCGCCAGCTTCCCACGCGTCTCCTTCCGCTTGAACCCTGGGGACAGACACACAGACACCGCGCCCGTCAGGCCTGCCAGGGCCCTTCCTAGCCCACAGGAAAGGGGGCATTGGTAGCGCAGGGAAAAGCCTGTGGGGGGTGGAGGCAAAGAAGAGGGGTGCAGGCCAAATCAGGCTGGCGAGGGCCAGGACATACCCCCAGGGGTGCAGCGTCCTACTCTGCTATTCGGCAGCTCCAAGAACTACACGGCCCGACATTCAGGGCGCTGTGTCTGCAGCAAGTACCAAGGCACCAGTGGTGGTAGGAGCGGGGTTTGAGAAGGACCCGGACCAAGCCCCAGCTCTGAACCCCCCAACCTCTGTGTGCCAACGCCAAGCTGGCAGTGCGCAGCCGGAGGGCAGGACCATGTACTGATTACTGAGCACTGAGGGGGCATCGCTCCCTGCCCCCAGGTGCTCCCGGCCCAGCACAGACTCTGGGGAGAGAGGGAAGCACTATTAGGGGCCCGGGGGGACAGTGGCCCAGGAAGGGAGGACCCTGCTGTTTGGTTTTCTCAGGGAGGAGGCGGGACTGGAGGCTGGGCGGTTCTGGGCTGTAGGGGCACTGGGAACGCCCCGCTGCATGACGCTACGTGCATTTTAAGGCAGCAGCTGGCCAGCCCTGTGGCTACGGCCCTGTAGATGTTCAGGGCAAGCCTCAGCGGGTGGCGTGATCAGCGCCGGCTATCAGGAGCTGAGCTGTCTCAAGGCCTCTTCTCCCACTCCCCCATCTCCCCCACCCAGACCCTTCACAGTACAAGCCGCGGCGCCGAGCTGCCTGGCTCATGCACATGCCCTGCTCCAGAGAACACTGCATTCCCCCCCCCAGGCTGGGACTCCATATCCTGCTGACAGACTCCAGCCCCACTGGGTGGGGACCCACGAGAACTGAGCAGAGAGAGAACGACCCCCATCCGCTCCCATGCAGGCCCTTCAGCCTCTCTCTCCGCTCCCCTCACCCGCGAGAAGAGACTCGATCAGGGTCCTGGGACCCATCAGCCCAGCTGACGCGACCAGAAGCACCATTGCCTCCCCTTAGCCTGGCCACCCTGAGAAGGGTGGAGAGCACTGGCCCCTCCTAGGCCAATGCTGCTGGCCAGCCCCTGGGTAACGGGGGTGCGTCCGGCCTGAGAGGGGTCCCCATCAGCCCCCGAGCCCTGTAGGGACTGTACGTGCCCCTGTGGTAGAGGAGAAGGAACATCAAGCTACAGAGGAGATGGAACGCTCCCAGCCGGTCTAGCCAGGTTAAGCTCAGCAGCCTCATGCACCCTCCCACCCCAGGCTGGGAGGGGAGGGGGACACACGAGCTGTAGCTCACGAGTGAGCCCTCACCTTCAGGCACAAATTTGCCTCCTCCAGCTGAGATGAGGACGTCAAATTCATACTGCCCCACAGGAGAGGAGCTGGGCTGGAGCGCAGCCTTCCAGCCACCACCTGCGGAGAAAGACAACGGAGAAGGGGGCGTCGGAGGGGGCCTGATCGATACCCCAATATGAAAACTCCCCCGTCCCCCTGTCAGGAACGTTTATACATAAAGGGGGTGGTGTGGTCCAGTGGTGTGAGCTCGTGGCTGGGCGTCAGGAGTTCTGGATTCTAATCCTAGCTCTACCAACAACTGGATTAGCATTTGTGGAGGCACCGGTATTGTTATTTAAAATAAAACAAAAACCTCAGGGGCAGACCAGACTGAGGGGAAACCGACCCAGAGCTCAAAACCACGTCATGAGTGTGTTAGTCCTCTGCAGAGACTTCAGTCTTGGTCAGCAGCAGTTAGCAGGAAAAGGGGATGAATCGCCCAACCCCTCCTCAACCTATCTGAGGGCAGATCTCCCTGTCCTCCAGGGAACAGGCTAGCCCTAGGCGGGGGTGCCAGCACCGTCGGCACGGGACAGACTGGATTTCAGCCAGTGACGGCTGGAATGAGTCCGGGCCACAAGGCTCCAGCTTCCCTACCCGGTCCGCTCCCCTTCGCTGCAGGGGGGATGAGCCCCTTAAACTGCACGTTGACGTGAATTTCAACCCCCAGGAGCAAGGCGACCTTCAGGAGGATCAGCTGCAACTGACGGATACCTGGAGAGAGATGGACAGAGTGACGGAGCAGAAATCAACGCTCCCCGGAGATCAGTCGCAGACAAAGCCCATTCGAGTCCATCCCCTACCCAGCACCCCTGCCTTGTGGGTCACAGACTCCGACCGCTCCCTGCTATCTGACCTGAGGCAGCTCCCTAGCTACTTCCCTGCCAGCTACAGACTTGGGGTCTGGACCTCTCCCCGCCATGGGATGCAGGCTGCTTTAGCAGGGAGGGCAGCTGGTACTGCAGAATTCCCTGGAGCAGCGCTGGGGTGGGGGGACCCCTCTGATGTGCAGACACAGCTTGAAGAGCATGGGAGATGGCGCTCGGCCCCAGAAGGCAGGTGCCATCTGTGTTTATTGTGCAGGCTGGGGGCAAAGCTGCCCTTGGTGTGAAACGGAGTGTGGATGGGGCTCCCTTCGGGACAGCAGGGCCCCAGACCCCAACTCACCCAGCCACAACCACAGGGTACCTTGGCCATTGCACCAGCCTCCCCCACAACCCTAGCCTCAGTGTCCCATGCATTGTCCCGCCACCCACCTGCCCAGCCTCAGTGGCCACTGCCACAATCCCCACAAGCCGCAACATGCCTCCGGCCCAGCCCTGTCCACCCCCACACACAACCAACCCCCGCCATAGCACGCTGGGCACTATCCTGTCACCTACCCCCACCCCCTCCCAGCCACATTTTGTTCCGACCCCAGAGCCGTGCCCTCCCTGCTTCCCCGGCCCCACTCACTGATGTGGTCCAAGGCCCCGGTGCAGAAGCGCCCGTAGAACTTCTTGGCGCCCAGCGCCCGCAGGTCGTGGATGGTGAAAGGCCAGAGGTGCAGCACGTTGTTGCGGGAGAAGGAGTCTCTCTTCTCCACCAGCACAACGCGGGCTCCCAGGAAGGCCAGCTCGATGGCGGTGCGGAGCCCGCAGGGGCCTGCCCCGATGATCAGGCACTGGAAGGAGCAGTGACAGAGCTGGGGCAGAACGCAGGAGGCTCCCCGCCCACCAGATACCCCAGAGCTGATCTCTTGGGACGGGCGCGTCTGTCCCCTGGGGGGCAGAAGGGCCTGACTAGCTGAGGGAGGGGAGACTAGGCCTTGCTGGGATCTCAAGACCTGGCTGGGCTGAGAACTGGGGTGAGGCGAGCATATTGCAGACAGGAGGGAGCAGGGGGTCTACACCGCAGCAGCCAGGTGACTCTGGCTGAGTTGACGGGAGTCAGGAAATCACTCCAACCCCCTTTGACACAGGGCACGAGTCACACCACTGGGAGGGAAGCGCACGCAAGCCCCAGGCCAGAAAGGCCTCCAGTTCTGGTCTCCCCTCGTCCCACAGCGGATCCGACTCCCCTGCATTTTCACTGGACCAGAATCAGGGTGATCTGCTAAAAACTCAAGCCTTGTCTGCACTGGGGATTTGTCCTGGTTACAGCCCCCCCCACTGGGGACGGGCAAAGCCTCTAGCGGCCGTGATTTGTACCCGTGCAGCTAGCCCCGGAGTCGAGCAGGGGTGAGCTGTCCCCAGCACAAGCAGCCGCTTGGTGTGTCAGGCCTGTGGGTTTGCACCAGTGCAGCTATGCTGGGTGGTGTTCAATGAACACTCGGTGCCCGAGATGCTCACGGAAGATCTCTCTGCCTGGGAAGCTCGGCCCTTAAAGGCACAGCCCTGCCAGTACCACATACTGATGGCTGAATTCCTCAGCGTAGACAAGGGCACCACACTTTCCCTCTGCTGGGAATTCAGCGAGTGGAACCGTTACACGTTTTAAAACAATGTGTTTTAGTCTCGGTCCCAGTTGGTCTCATCCAAGGACAGATAATGGGGGATCTAATCTCTCTCCCAAGCCGAGTTAGAGTGAACAGCACCGCCCCCGACTCTCTCCCAGCACTGACACAGCCTGCAAGGAAGCCATTAACTCCCTGTTCTCCACAAGGGGACACAGGCAGAGAGCTCAAGTGACCAGTGCGTGGGAGTTCCTGGCTCCTAGCCCCCCACCCCTCCTGCATGCCCTGGGGCCTGTAGGTGTCTCTTGGACAGAGCAGACATGCAGTACATTCCCCGGCCTGGCCAGCATGAAGGTTTTGGGAACACTCCCACCTGGAACACTAGTGGAGACAGGGTCCAGGTAGGAGATTTCCCGAAACATACTAGCACAGGCAGAGCTCACCAGGAAGCCGCACCACGCCTGCCCTTCCAGCAAGGGGCTCAATTTGAATCACAGGTGGGGTTGTTGAACTGCCAAGACCTGTTTATTCACAGTGTCAACACCACAAGCCACTGCACATCCTATCAGGAGCTACACAAGACGCTCAGATACCCTCTCTGATCCACTCAGCCCTGCCTGGAGAGGACAAACCATTCACCCCTGAAGACAGCGTAGTCATCAGCTAGCTCTGGGCTCACCCCACACCTGCAATGAACCCCACCCCACTCCCAGCTCTGACCTGAAAGGCCTCAGTGCAACGAACTACAGCTGCCTACAGACAAACACCACCGTTGACAGTGAGGATTCGAACCCATGACTCCCCTTACTGGAAGCACAAGCCCCCACCACTTGAGGTAAAAGAGCAGCTCCATTAGCTATAACTTAGTAGTAGGTTGTTACAATTACTTGGACCAGCCACTAGGAGGAGGCAAATCACACAGTTAGCCTGTGTAATACCTCCCCCTTGCTCTCAGCATAGGCCCTTCCCTGGTTATACCAGCCATGCCCTCCCTTCTTACCTTGGTGTTGGCACATGCCTTTCCCTGGTCATAGTCTTTGTGTCCAGCCTTCTTATCCAGCTTGCCCCACAGGGCCTTGGCACTCCAGTAGTTAAGGCAGGACTTGAGCTTATGGTAGAACTGCAGCTGGCCCTTGTGCTCCAGAGCCAGCTGCCTGCATAAGGCCTGGAAGCTGCCCAGCACCTCCTCGCAGTGGTTGGCACGGAGGAAGGTTTCAAAAAGGGAGTGAGCCGGGTTACCCTGCTCCCCATCCTGAGGGTTCATCCTGGCCGCTCGGGGTCAAGAAGGGAGTCTGGAAAAGAGGGAGCAAACCACAGACTGAGCGAAGGAGGCACTGCAGAGGAGCCACCTCTCAAACAATCCCCATTTCACGGATGTTACCCCAAGGCATGACACAGGGCAAGGGAAACCAGGACCACGGGATCGCTGTAGCAGATCGGACCACGTAGCCCAGTTTCCTGCCACTAGCTGGCCAACACCCAATGCTGCAGAGGAGGACGCACACACATACACACACCAAAACCCATGATGTGCCAAGCTAATTGTCCAATTATAACAAAGCCCACTTGGGGCAACAGCAGGATTTGAACCCAAGAGCTTCAGAGCTAAAAGCATGAGCGTCTACGGCTTGTGCCAAAAGATTAAGACCTAGGACAGCCTTCAGATATGTTACATTTCACAGCTTACACACAAAGATGTTGGATAGAAACATCAAATACTCTGCTGGGAGGTTACAACATAACTCCGTTTTTATTCTTAGAATCCAGAAAGATATCTGGACCGGTGATCTGCTAGGTCACTCCAATCCCCAACTCTGGGAGCCAGCCTTACCCTGCTCTGCTGTGAGAACCCCCACTCCTGGGATGTTCACGCACAGCCTCTGGCATGTCAGCTGCTCCCAGCTACGTGAGTGAGCACTTTTGGCCAGCCACTGCTTGGATTGTGCAACCGAATGACACTAGCCAATATCTTCAGTCCCAGACACAACCCTAGGAATCTCCGTCTTGCAGTGTCCAGTTATGCCCGCTGGACGGTGCAAGCTTATATGAGTTCATCAATTTAACAAAGAAATTGATATGTACCAGGCTTATTATCCTGTGCTAGCATCAACTAAAGTAGGAGCAGAGAGAGCGTGGGCTAAAGAGCTCTAGGCAGAGCGTTCAGATCTGGTGCACAGAGCAAGGCTCCCATGGCCACATTTAGACACCTGAATCCAAGCGACCCACACACCCCCACCAACCTCCTTGGGAGCTGCAGAGGCTCAGCCCCTCTGGATATCCCCTCTGGGATTTAGGAGCCAAGTGTGAACGTCCTGGCCCGAGAATTGTAGCAATCAGCCCCTTGTGCAAGTGTGATGTCAGAGAGACAGGCCGGAAGTCGCTTCAGTGCTAGGCAATTTCCTATGTGCAATGTGCACCTGAAACACACAAAGTGGATCTGGGGAGTTTCATAGTCTTTTCCTGTGGCATCAGCAGAGACCATTCCTCCTTCCTCTTTATCACCCATCCAGTTTCGGGAGGGCAGGAGGTTTCCCCTACCAGAGAGGGGGCCAGGGCTACTCTAAGCGGGCCGGATGTGAGCTGGGACCAGCCGCAGCCCCAGATTTCAGCAGCCTTGCAAAATCTCCCCAAGAGACCAGCTGTGGGGCAGGAGGCTGCCAGCCGGGGAAGGGGAAGATTAGCAAAGAGAACAGGAAGCGGCAGAGGTGTCTGGAATCTACCCGAAGTGGGTGGCAGCTGGTGGTTAGAGTAAATGACTTTGTATAAGTTGCCTTTTTGCGCTGCCCACATCTGACCTGTACGGGCCAACTCCTCTTCCCCCCCGGCATCAGTGGGAGTTTGGTCATTGACTTCAATGGGATCAGGAATCTTACCCCCTCCTCCAGCACCTTCTGTTTAGCCCATGTCCATATGTGAGAGTCCACCACCAGTTTAGCTGCACTGGTGCAAATCCCCAGTTTAGACGGGCTCTGAGTCGCAGTTTGCACTGGTGCAGCTTCCCCTGGTTTCAAGCGGGGGCAGAGCTCTGCTGGCATGAATAGCACCTTTGCCTGACTGCATTCGGGCAGGAACCCCGGCAAGCCCCCAAGGCCTTTGTTTAGAATTAACTGCTGCTCTGGGTGTTATCTGGATAAAAAACATTTCATACTCTTGCTGGAAGCTTGTAACATAACACTGCTTTATTTCTTAGAATCCAGAACAGTGGTTCTCAACTAGGGGTACGCATGCTCCTGGGGGTATGTAGAGGTCTTCCAGGGAGAACATCGACTCATCTAGATATTTGCCCAGTTTTACAACAAGCTACAGAAAAAGCACTAGCGAAGTCAGTACAAACTAAAATTTCATACAGACAATGACTTGTTTATACTGTTCTATATACTATACACTGAAATGTAAGTACAATATTTATATTCCAATGGATTTATTTTATAATTATATGGTAAAAATAAGAAAGTCAGCAATTCAGTAATAGTGGCTGGGATACTCGTATTTTTGTGTCTGATTTTGTAAGCAAGTAGTTTTTAAGTGAGTTGAAACTTGGGGGTACTCAAAACAAATCAGACTCATGAAAGGGGTACAGTACTCTGGAAAGATTGAGAGCCACTGATCCAGAACACACAAGAACCCCAAACAGAGAGAAACAAAGCAGGCTGCTCCCTAAACAGCAAGGCACAACTCACCCCACCTGGCTGGCTGCAAACTGACTCTGATGTCTGACTCTGATCCCAGGCTCTTTGCCACTGAGCCCCAGCCCCTAGCCTACAAGCTAAGGGAACACCCTTCCCCGCTCTTAAAATGATAGCTTGCAATTCCAGCACAGTCCTCAATATACTACACTAGGTAGTGCTGCAAACCCCAGCCTGTTGTGTGTTCTCTCCTACCTCGGACACCAAATCACTGCCAGGTAAGTTCCAATTCCAGGATCTTTATCTCAGGTGAGACAAGAAGCACAAAACACACCGCACTGTTTCCGGCTCTCCTGATAAGCTTCCAGCCAGGGAATGCCTGTATTTGACTTGCAAATTACACAGACTGGAATAGAATTGACAAGGGACGGGATACAAATTAGGGGACTCCTCCAAGGAAGAGGCTTAGAAGGGATTGCCTCAAGACCCTTCCGCTGTCCTCACTTCTCTCCATTGAGTTTAGGGAGTAAAAGGTCTCGTCTCTTTAAATTATTATTATTTAAAACACTTATTTTGTGGTAATGCCTACAGCCTCCATTGTGCTAGGTTCTGTACAAATAATAAGTGACAGTCCCTACTCCAAAGAACTTACAGTCTAAAATGCAAATGTCTCTGGGGCGAAACACAGCAATTGCTTAACAGCGCAATGCAACATGGCACAAAACTTGGGGGGGGGGGGAGAATTCAGGATCCAATGAAGATACCGTGTTTACAGGGGAGCTTTTAAGTCATTATGGAGGTTATCAACCCCTGACAGTAATGAGGTGCTGACTATTCATTTTTTTGAGCCCAGGATCACATGCAATGTAATTAACTGCTGTTTGTAGAGCACTGGGAGCTCTTGAGGAAAGGCACCGAAGAAATACAACGCAGTTTTCCACGTCTTCCTTGCATCAGCAACAGTTTTGCAAGGCAATCAGCCTCCAGAGGCAATGGGGTAATTGATTAGCATGTACAACGAGGAGTCCTTGTGGCACCTTAGAGACTAACTCTGCAGCAGTACTTGGGTTGAGCAATGCGGCTGTGAGGTTGAGTCTCACCTGCCTCCAGAATGGAGACTAACCCATGGGAGAGCTATGAACGTTCACCGCTTCTTCCCTGGAGGGAGATCAGTTTCCTCTAAGTCTCTGCACCAAGCCACTCCCAATGAAGAAACAAGTAGGTCAAGGGTGCTCCTGGCTGTAAAGCCCCTACAGCATGTCAGATACCTGTCCAGGGTCCCCCTCAGCACAGCAGTGTCTGGTGAAAGGCCCACAGCAAGTTGCCGAGAGAAATTTCAAGATGACAAAGCCCTCCACAGGGTATCCAAGGGACTGCGGCCAAAGATTGAGGAGACATACCAGGGAGGCACAATCATCCCTTAGCATTACCACTGTCTCAGTGTAATATACGCATTTGGGGCAGATCTTTGCCCTGGCTCTTCTCCCAGATCCCCAATCAATCCATTGCCAGAATGAGCACCATCTAGACCCCTATTCAGCTTAGGACTTGTTTCTCAACTGGAATGGTGGGTGTCCCTGGCTTCTGAAATATCAGGGCCACAGAATCGGTGCTCTGCCCAAGGTGCTGTGCTCTGTGAGGTCAGGAAACATTTTACCAATGGGGAAACTGAGGCACAGATAAATTAAGATTGTGCAGGAAGCCTGTGGCAGAGCTAGGAATTGAACCCCGGTTCTCGCCGGGTTCCCAGCCCAGTGCCCCAGCGTTCCTCCCCACCCCACAGTGGGATGGCTTTTAAGCAATAGAACATTACCATAAGCTGGGACCTATCAGTGTGCTCAGCGCTGTACAGAGAAAGTCTTGCCCCAAGGAGCATGCCCTCTAGCCTCTATAGCGTCAGGCAACACATACTTGAGCAATTATATCCTCTCCCCAGGGGCACGGCGTCACGGGGCCAAAGGCAGAGTGAGCAGCTAGCCAAAATGCTCAGTAATTGCCTTGAGACACGCTTCCTGCTGTGGTTCGTCGCTGTTATGAAATGTAATTTACGGCACACCCAAAAATAGAACAAATTTGCCGCCGAGAGGTGACTGGGGGATACCTGAATCACTCAGGACCATCTACAGCCCAATTCAAACCACATCAACCCAGGGGGGCGGGACCAATTTCTGTAACGGGGCTGCTGCTGATGGAAATCATGTATTTGGTGTTTGTTATTCCCAGTTCAAGCCAGGGGGTGCGGAAGCACCCCTAGTTCCAATACCACTGCATCAACCATTCAAGAGCCACGCACTGGTGTTCTCCCTCCTTGGAACAAACAGCACAGGGCATTTCCTGGGGATTAAGGGCTATTTGGGGCTAGCTAGTTCCCATCCGCGTCTTTGCCCATCCGCTCCGCTCAACCAGACAGTAATTGCCAGGAAATGAGCGGCTGTGAATGTTGAACAATACAATGGGACAATACAATTCATAAGAAAAGCACAATGGAAAAAGTCAGTTGGACATTACGGCCTCCGGCCCAGATCCACAAAAGGTCCCAGGTTTGGCTCCACTGCGATCCACATTACACCCACCAAACCCAGTAGGCGCCTAAGGTTCAGGCATGGGCACTGCTGCCTCCCTTAGGCGCCCGGGACCTAGCTCCCACCTTAGCCCCAGAGCAATTC